CTCAAACGTAGGTAATATCATATAAAAAACGCGGAACGACGCGATCGCCATCTGTTGGTTTTATGTGAATACAACATCTCATGAAATTTCAGTTAGCAGTGCCGAAGTTGCAAGATTACAGAATTACAGCAAGATGAGTGTGTACCGCCATCTATTAGGTAGGGTCCGAACCGGTCCGAACTACCAAATTCATGTTTCCTACTTTATCTTCGAAGGATATTGCAACGAAACCAAACCTAATAATCGAAAAATGGCGTCCTTGTGTCAAATTTCAGGTTTTTGTTCGAATGGAGACATTCCAGGAGCTGATATTTTGGTAACGCATTCCTAAATTTTGGTTCCATACAATGAGGTAATTTTATTAAAATCTGAGACACAAAAATTTACAATGTTTACATTTTTCAAAGACCCCTAACTTTTTTCAATGGACGAGTTTTGACTCCGAAAAATACTGATTCCCGAATTTGAACCTTCCTCTTTACGATAATTCAATTAGTTTTGAGATTGAATTCATGACAAGGCCAGAAAGGTCAAATGAAAAAGGGTCTGCTAAACCATTTTAGTGAAACCCTCCTCTTAAGTAAAAATATGCCTAGCTTGATATAGAAAATAGTGTTGAACTGGCTTAAAAAGCTTCCCACTATCCTTCCTCGGTACGCACGATGTTCCACGAGCATAATAGGGATTTTCTTTCGTGCGATCCAAGAGATAAAACAAAGCTATTGGTGAACATTCAGAAATGAATGATTTCGTGAATGTTTGCTCGATTGGGGACCATAAAGTTGAAATATAAATATCTCATATATTTTACATAACAGTGCGCGAAGTAGGTACTTCGCGCACTGTTTTACTTCGCGCATTGTTATGTGCAAGGTATCATGGTAACGTAGAAAACTGACAAAAAGTGTCACTTCGCAATTTGTTTTCAATGCGCGAACCTTGTCATTTTTTGACGTTTGTCGAAAAAATGTATTGTGGCTTCAGTGAACTGTCATTATTTTAAAGGGGGAAGGAATATCACATTTATTTCCGTTATTTTTAAATATCAGAAAATGCTTGTTGTTGAAAATTAAAATAATTGACGCTGATAATAATATGGAGTATGAAGTAGAGGTAACGAAAGAAGAATGGCTCTTAGATTCATCATCTGTATAATGCCATTTTACGTTTTCCATGAATCTCAATTCTCAATCTCCTTTCTTCTGGTGCATCATGAAAAATCTTTGGCAACAAAATGTCTTAGTATTCTTCATCACTCGAGCTTGAATTCAACAATCGTAGAAACTATGGAGGCTATACAATAATCGATGGCTCTACCATGTTGAATATTAAATTCCTTAAATTTAGCTCAAGCAGGAGCATTAGCCAGAGCAATGACGGCTAAAGTTCAGATAAACGTCAAACTCTCAGTAAACTACAGAAGTTAGAACCTGACAACTTATGAATTTCACCAACTGATCAACTGCTGCTGATTACTGATTAAAACCATGAAAACGTGTTCCGAATTACAGCACTGTATTTTTGATTTTACATTACGGGTCAGTTGGATCTACTGACAGTACTGGCCAGTTAAATTCGGTATATAGCATTAGACTATATCCCGATATTCCCGAACAGTACTGCCCAGTATATGTTATCGTTATGTTGAAGCGTTGATTGATATATTACGCTTACGCTGGGAAGATGCCCAACCTTATGGGGAAAAACGAGGTCCAAAAAAATCTCACAACTAGATGGCGTACCATAGTTCGAAATCTCACATAGTGGCGGCGATAGTGTCGAACGATGTCGGAGCAATAGTTCGTAATTTGACGGGCAGGTGCGCCACTTACGAAGAGAATCTATTGGAATGCAGATGGCGTGCGACTTGGAACAATTAAACAATCCATAATCCGGAACGCTTGTATCGAATCCATGATCAATCAGTACGATTCTGACTAATATGGCGGTAAATTCGAATTTGTTAGTATTAGTTGTATTTCTTTTATTCGTCTGAGGCTTCTAACGAGCGCATCACGGACGTGAGATCATGCGATTGTGGAATAAACTGGTCAGCGGATATGAATATATAAGCTGCTCATAAATTTGATTGAAATTCACGAACCCGGACCAGTGTTGTCACCTTAGTGTATTTTACCCTAGAACTGAATCTGAATGGGTCTGTTTGAGTGGAATTTCATATTTCATTATGTCGAATTACTAAATCAAACGATAATTCATTGTCGCAAATTATTTTCTTGTCAGAGCTATGTACAATTTTTGAAATTTTTATTATTGAAATTAATGATATTTATCACATGAAAAACGCGGAACATTGCGTGACAATTCTATACCGCTATCAATCCAAAGTATTTTATACTGGTATGTGATCCGACCTATGTATTGCCGAAACTTGGAGTGCCAATAATTTCCTTTGACTTTTGTGGGGCGGCCGAGTCGGTGCGTTTGTCGGCGATAGGGCTGCCAAGCCGTCGTTTGTCGCACTAACAACACAAGTACATCCTAGGGACTTCCCAGGGACGTCCCTAATTTTATTCAAGGACATCCCAGAGATATCCTTTGTCGGGACAGAGTACATACTAGGGACGTCCCAGGGACATCAGCTGGCTGACAAAAAAAAGCATCAAAGGGATTTCCGTCTGGTACGTCCCTGCGATGTACCAAGTACGAAGAAAGGATATCCCTAGGAGGTCCCAAGGATATTCCAGAGACATCCCTTCGACAAAAGAAAAAAATGTGGGTCGAGTAGGGCTTGAACCCGGGACCTTTAGCTTTTTCAGGCACGCACCTTACTCCATTTTCTGATATGCCTTCTGAAGATTTATGAACCAAACAGATTTTTAAACAGGACCAAACTGCAGAAACCTGAATAAATACAACTTTGTTAGGATTTGGGTATAATTATTATCATTCGTGGATGTTTAAAAATGAGGGGCATTATGCATTTACGATTTTTGTTTGCGAAAAATGGTCATTTCTTGAGAAGTTTTGACTTTCTTTATCTTCATTACAATTATTAACCGGAAAAAAAACCAAACATTTTCATAAAAATTCAACTCAATATTTTGATGAAAGTCAATGACTCTGATGTGAATAGATATCAGATATACCAAGGACACGAATTGGATAACCTATGGATGTGCGGGACATTTCCTGGATACCCCAATTATGTCCTTGTACCGTGTGACAGAGAGGGGAAGTACCTAGTACATCCCTGTGTTGTTAGGGCGGAGATTCTGAGCGTTCCGTAGTCTGTACTCCGTTTGTTTTGGAGCGGCAAAATCGATTCTACTCAGAAAAGGTTACTGGTATCACAAAATATCAACGCCGATTCCATGATTATATTATATCGTGGCATATAGACTGGAAATGTAGTTGTTTTCTGTTGATTTTGTTTTTATCTCAAATATACCAAAAAAGAGTTCATATTTTTCAACAACTAGATACTGTAAAAAATGGTTCATAAGCTTGCAGCATCAACTCTTGTAATCCAATAAATAAATGAATTCTATATATGTTCCAATAGTTATGACTCACTCTGTATATTATGCCTATTATAGATGATGTATTTTATTTCATTTTTATAGTGAACCATTAACAATCAAAGATTCAAAGATATCTGACTATTTATTTTCGATCAACTGATGGGACTCTAAGAAATTATCACATTCAGATTGATTATATTATCAATATTTCGTAATGTCTCATCAATACAAAATTTTAAAATGGATACAAATTGAGTAAAAAAAAATAATCAACGAAAAAGGCGTGAGATGTTTTTCCAGATAATATACAAATTATATTGGTCTAGGGTCTAGGCAAGCAAAGTATGACAAGTTATTCACAAGGGAAGGGAATTTAAAAAAAAACGCCACTGAGTAGGAACCCAAATGAGTGAGAGATCATAATATGTTCTGTTCTTCTGTCCTCCGCAAGGAACCGAGGAAAAAATCAATACTGTCCATGGGATTCACCGACCGTAGCAAACATTTTTTTATCAGAACCGGTCGGGCGGGTCGGGTCTCATCGTAGAAGACAAGGATAAACAAGAATTTCTGGAGCGATAGCACGCGGTGGGATGGGATCTGTAATTCTGTACAAAAGTGTAGTAATCTGTACAATTAGTTCAGACATCTTCTGTGTGCCTAGTGGAGTCGCTACCTCACAGTGGCTAAACCATGGCTAAACGATAGACGAGGGGATGAGAGGGGCATCCACTCGCAAATAACACAGGTTGGGCATCTTCCCAGCGTAAGCGTAATATATCAATCAACGGTTGAAGGCTAAAAGTTTACTGTTGGCCACAGGTGCAGAAATGATGATGTAGTGCCAGTATTCATGAATTGTTAGGTAAAGTGTTTGAATGGTTAGATATGAGTCGATAAAAAAATTATATATCATTATTTCCTAATACTTTGGGAAACTGTATGGATTCGAACTGGAAGATCTCACAGAGGCGGTAGACGCTGAAACTGCGCCACTAAACTACCAGATGGTTTTTTATTCCCACTTAATGATATCAAATATTTTACAGCTATGCTTCATTTCTCCATCACTGGATCTAGAGGTACGAGAGCTTGGTGTTTCTGATGAATGAGAATCAATTCATATATGATAATAATTATGTATTTTAAGATAATATGAGTAATCTTGAAAGACATAAAGATAATATGAGTAATCACTCCATCAATAATTTCAACGTGAGTAAAGAAGATAATAATAAGAATGATGAAAATAAAAATCAACAAAACAAAACATCGAAAATCGAAAGATCATAGCTTAGGGTTATGTTTTGCTGCCAGTTTACCAATACTGCCAAAATCGTTCCAAATAAAATGAAAATTCGAAGCTTCTGCTACTGTTTAGTGTTCCTAAATTGCTTACTGTGGCCAGTAATGTCAGCAATATCGGAACATGACCTGAGTAATTGGATGAGTCTGGTGACATTAGCAGTCTAGATAGTAAGTTATGTTGGTGGAAGCGACCGATAAATTACATACCTTGTAGGTAGATTTTCAAGGTGTCCCATGTTCCTTCATGTACTCCATGTTCAATGGTACAACGAGTTTTTGCTACCAGATCCTTGCCAAGGGCGACTATTTCGTTGTTTGATAAGTCTGCGTGGCAAAGTACAGGCAAACCATGAAAGTCTCGTTCCAAAATCGTTAGGTAATTGTGGCTAGCTTTCAGTTCCGACAATCTTGGCAGATATGTCTAAAATAAAAAAAAGAGTAAATTACAAAATAGCTATATTAGTGTCTGCCAAAGGCATTATTTTACATAATATGCTCATCTTCCAAAAACTGTCTTTATTTAAGTTCCGAAGTCCTAAACTCAGTCGCTAAGCTATCAAGTAGGAAACTCAAACGCACTAGGTCAGGCTATACAGGGTATCCCTAAAAGGTCTTTATAAAAACCTACCACATACTCCTCAGACCAAAACTTTTCGATACAAAGCAAACTTACCTCAGTTGGCATCTTTATTGGGCAATGAAACCCATATCATGATTATGGGCGTAGAACTTGTTTTTTTATGTCAATATCTGAAACTTCTATGCCAATGGAAAGAAGGGGGTTGGATAGCGTAACTTGTTAACTACAAAAAAGACACTCTTGATTGAATTCAATGTCTCTCATTGTTTCCCAAAATTTGAATTTTAGTAATTGAAAGTATCAGTCAACACTAAAACGATGAGCAGATATATATCATAAAAATTTTCAAATCAATCATTTTCACGTATAGGAAGATTTGTACGACGAGAAAAATGGATACAAGCAAACTCATCTCAGTACAAAGTTGATAAGTCTGGGCGCTAGACGGCTTTGGCTAACTCAGTTGAGTAAACAACAAAAAATAGCTGACTCAATACATTTCATAATGCCCCTGTCCCTTTGAACTTTTTCAATTTCAAAAGGAATTTCTATGAATGTTTTTTCTTCCTCTATTTTCACTTTACAAAAATATTATTTTCTCTATTTCATATTTCATCCATACGAATAATGAACAAGAGAAATGTATCCATCAATGCATGCGACCTCAAACAAGCTGATCGATAAATGTGTTTTTTTTCTCAAGATTCGAAATGCGCCCACAAAATAAAGCTTTGAAAAAAAAATTCAATTCAGTTTGAGTTAACCCTACTTCAATCAAAATGGTTTCCAATAGGAATTGAAGTCGAAAGCAAATACATGACAGGAACTGAAGTTTTATGCCCAAAAGTGAAATACACTCATAGGGAACAATTATTATTATTGAAGTGGAAATTACGAATATCATACGCCAGATATATGATCAAAAATTTACCATTATAAGGTGATGAATAAAGTAGCGCCAATGTCGATAAAACCTCAGTATTTACTACAAAATAAATGCTACAGTTCCAAAAACGGGTAATTTTGAGAAATAGTGATTTCTGAATATTCACAATAGAGTTAGTTATATACAGGATGAGTCATGACTTACTTACCAGCCATAGCCTAATGGCAGATACAGGAAGTCAAGGTGAGTTGATATATTATATATGTAAATAAATATATTTTTTCTCCGATTGGCAGCAAATATTAATTTTGCTGATACATATCAATCAGCAAAGTATTACTTTTCCTGCCTAGGCAGCAAAGTGGTTACTTTGCTGATTGATATGTATCAGCAAAATTAATAATCCATAAATCGTTTATAATTTCCTTCATATTTCATCCGAGACTTCTCCGGCAACAAATTCAACTCTATTATATTTTTTGCCACCTCCCTTATTTCTGGAGGTGTAAGTACTTCCAGGTTGCTATCACTGTCCATTATATAATAATTTAAATATACCGATATTTTTTCGCACAACTGTTAGAAATTTCATGAATTGTCAAACTATAATTATTATGGACATTTCCATAGCAACCAACCATTCCAACAACTGCGATTTCTATCAAGTATTATTTTAATTGAACACTACAGGAAAAATGAAGATATATATTGTGGGAGCGCGCCTCTACGAGTCGATAAGCGACATGGTGATTCACCGGGATGAGATATCGAGGAATGTGAATCGGTAGTCGTGAACGGACTACGGCCCGATATATGACATGCTATTGAGTATAATACATTGTTACTATTGTTAGTGTTATTATTATATATTAAATAAATCAGTGTTTGCAAGTGTGTGCATTAGTACTGCCTAGTAGGACACCACAATTGGCGACTGAGGTAAAAAAAAAATATTTTTTTTTTCTTGTTTTTTCATTCGAATGAGACTTATGGAGGGTTGCAAGCCAGGAATCTTATAGAGGATTCATATTTAGCTGCAACCCATCATATAACATTCAATTATGTCCTATATTTGGATATAACCCATCATGTACATGGGGTCAATTGAGGGGTACTCACATTCAATTGTGACTTATAACACACTCAAGTGTGTTAACGAGGAAGCACATTCAATTGTGGAATATCTCATATTCAATTGTGAACATGGGTGTTACATTAGATTGTAACATATACACAGGTGGTTCATTCAATTGTAACCCACATCACATTCAATTGTGAAAACAGGAAAGCACATTTAATTGTGGAATATCTCACATTCAATTGTGAACATGGGTGTTACATTAGATTGTAACATATACACAGGTGGTACATTCAATTGTAACCCACATCACATTCAATTGTGTAAACAGGAAAGCACATTTAATTGTGGAATATCCCACATTCAATTGTGAACATGGGTGTTACATTAGATTGTAACATATACACAGGTGGTACATTCAATTGTAACCCACATCACATTCAATTGTGTAAACAGGAAAGCATATTTAATTGTGGAAAATCTCACATTCCATTGTGAACATGAAGCTTACATTAGATTGTAACATATGCACAGAAGGTACATTCAATTGTAACCCACGTCACATGCAATTGCATATTGTCTATAAAATAGAATAGGTATGTCACAATTGAGTGTGGAATATGTCACATTAAATTGTGTTGTAGAAAAATAGCACAGTAGATTGTGGAGTAGTAGCATAACGTAGTCATACCCATATTACAGGGTGGGTTATAATCAAATTCCGGGCAAACAAAAAAAAAAAACTTGGTGATAATGTTTCATAAGGAATTACGTATATTCCGATAGGTCGAACAATAATGGGCGAGCCATCAGGAATTAAACCGTTCCAATGTGACACAATCGACAAGGCAAGCATCAGGATCGAGTGGCAGAAATGGGTGCGAGCTTTTCAGCTGTATCTGGATTCCGAAAATATACAGGATGTGCTGAAGAAGAGGAATAAGCTCTTACACTTAGGAGGAATGCAATTACAAGAGGTGGCTTACAATATACCTGGAGCGATCGTACCTAATAATGAAAACGAACACATCGATGTTTTCCAGATACTCGTTGACGCTTTAACTAAATATTTTTCGCCAACACAAAATTCAGCATTCGAAAGGCATACTTTTAGGAACATAAAACCGGAAGAGGGAGAAACTCTTAACAGATTCCTTCTCCGCCTAAGACAGCAGGCAACAAAATGTTCATTTGGGAATAATGCTGAAGAAGCCTGTGAAATTAATATAAAAGATAAACTTATCGATAATTGGGCCCCTGTAGAGCTCAAGAGGAAACTTTTAGAGAAAGAACGCTCATTATTAGAAATCATCGATTTATGTCAAATCCATGAACAAATAAAGGATCAGTCAAAGGTAATGGGCATGTCCATTGCTGACACACCCAGTACATCTGTCAACAGAATAGCAGTAAGACATCAAAGTACGCATAATAATGATTGTTACCGATGCGGGGGGACTGGTCACCAAGGAAACGACGATAAATGCCCAGCAAAGAAAGTCAAGTGCCACAAATGCAATATACAGGGTCATTTTGCATTTAAATGTAAAACCAAAACAAGACAACAACCTAACCGAGATCATTTTAACTCGGCTAAGAGGAGAAAGATAACTGGATCACGCGTCCGGTATTTGAATCCTGGAGAATCAGATGAGAACGAACATGACCACGAAGGCAATAATAAACATTTCGAATGTTTCAAAATTGATCACTCTGGATCGGCAAACTCTACGAAGCAAGATGAACTCATAGAATGTTATGTCGGAGGAGTACCCATTACATTACTTATCGATTCTGGTTCAAAAGTTAACATCGTTAATGGATCTGACTGGTACAGCCTTACACAGGGACAAGCGACAATGTGGAACATTAATTCACAAACAAAAAATGCTTTAAAGCCATATGCTGTAGGACAAACTCTGGAAGTTCTACAGCAGTTCCAAACAACTGTGAGTACGTCGGATCAGAAAGAAATTATCACTTCGTTCCTTGTAGTAGAGGAAGGAGACGTATCAATCTTAGGTAAGGATACAGCCAAGCGACTAGGAGTCCTGAAACTAGGATTAGGGGTGAACAGTGTAATGGAAGTAAGGCCATTCCCGAAAATTAAGAACATAAAAATCAAACTATCCATAGACAAGTCTATTAAGCCAGTCCAACAGCCATTAAGACGCGTACCAATTGCCGTAGAGGCATCACTAGAGAGGAAATTGAACGAAGCCCTACAACGAGACATTATTGAACCAGTGAACGAACATAGCCCTTGGATATCCCCTATTGTAATAACTTATAAGTCGAACGGCGATATTCGGATCTGTGTGGACATGCGTAGAGCAAATGAGGCCATACTGAGAGAAAATTTTCCATTGCCAACTTTTGATTCAATGATGGCAAAAATCGGTAACGCGAAGTATTTTTCTCGTCTAGATCTAGAATGGGCATATCACCAAATAGAATTGGATGAGGAGAGTCGCGGGATTACAACTTTTATAACACACAAGGGGATGTTCCGCTATAAACGTCTGATGTTTGGAGTCACATCAGCTCCTGAGATATTTCAGAGAATTTTTGAAAATTTACTGACTAAATGCACAAATTGTCTGAACTATCTAGATGACATTATCGTGTATGGTAGTACGGAACAAGAACACGATGCCTGTTTGGAAAGAGTGTTGAGAGTTTTTCAAGAAAACAACGTTCTTCTGAATAAAAGCAAATGTACCAGGAAAGTTCAACAACTACATTTCCTAGGTCATCGACTGTCGCACGAAGGTATTGATGCGGACCAGGACAAAGTGAAAACAATATTACAGTTCCGCTCAACAAATACCAAAGAAGAGGTGCGTAGTTTCTTGGGACTAGTGACCTATCTAGGTA